AATCGGTTTTCCAGAAACGGGGTACCAGGCCTTGAGGGCTGAGGCGACGCGGGCCTAGCGAGCTGAGGTCCTCCCGACCTGACTGCCCGTCGCGAGGTCGGAGCGGCCGATCTTTCTTGTTTGCCACCGGAAGGAGGCCTGGCTCCTTGGAGGGTTCTGGGGGGCCCCTCCTTGGCGAGATGGGTGCTCCTCATGACGACGAGACCTAGCTCGCTGCGAGACTGGGTGCCGAGGGGGAAGCTATGATTACTGAAGCTGAGGTTGAGGTAACTGGGGAAATTGCTGCTGATACTAATACTGGGAGACCTGGTGCAACACATGTTGTTGATAGAGCTGAAATTGTTGGAACTGTTGCATTTGGGCTTGCATGGCCCGCATGCACTGCATCAAGTTCTCTAGTTGGCTTGGGCTGGCCACCGGGGGCACGACCGAAGGTTCGGTGAAGGTCGCTCCGACTGTAGCAGGGAGTGGCGCGACGATGGGTGCCACTGCAAGAGGCACATTCAAGCTGGGGATTCCGTCCGTCGAGAGGGGGACAGTGAACTGTCCAATGCAGACAGTAGGAAGCTGGGGTTGTTCCCTGGAGTTATCCATCTTCGTGCTTCGTCTGATGTTGCTAGAGGAAGCCATGAGTGTTGAGTTTCTAGAGAGTAAAGAGACGTGAAAGTTTGGAGAAAGGCTTTTCGAAGTGTTTCCCACAGACGACACCAAATGATGTAGCGTGATCCGGTCACTCCTATCTGGCACTCACGTGGCTCCTGGGAGGTACCTGAAATGAGGAGGAAGAAGAAGTATCCCCGGGGGGTTTGCCCGACGGGAACGCTTTGACGATTAAGTCAGTATTCTGTGTGAGAAGCAAGGGAAGACAAAGGTTAAGAGTACAGATTGCGCAAGTGGTTCGAAGATACCTTATTCCTTGAGAATAAGCCCCTTATAACAGAATTTCGTTGCATCTGGCCCTCTGGCTTCTGACAGGGCAGGTATAACTGCCACTGTCAGTCTACCACAACCGTTACAGGCAAGGCTGAGGTGGCACGCGCAGGGTACGTGCCTGTCCGGTGTAAGGCACCTTCTAAAGGTGGCAGGCACGACGATGTCTGACAAGGGACATGGCTGCTGTCCTCAGGTTTGTTGGGTACGGTGGTCGGGCAGGAGATCTTTCGGTGGTACGCCGAACTACCCTTCCGCGAGTTACCCTGTGTCGGGCTATCCCATAGGCGGCGAGCTGCCTGTGGCAAGCTATGCCGAGCTATCTGGCCCGAAGTGTTTTCACCCCGGGGTGTCTAGAGGTGGGTCGGTGAGCTCCCGTCGGGGAGTGGCCCGAAGTCCATCGGGAGGAGCTCGGGTATCGAGAAAGGTTAGGGTACCCCGACCTCGAGGCACCCCGAAGTGCCTTAACCCCGGGGAGGAGATGCAGGCAAGACGGCTTCTGACGAGTAGTTTATCCGCCTAGTTGCCGAGCTCAACTCGCTGAGAACCTTCCCCCAAGTTGTGGTTATGTCAGTTGAGCTGTCACGCTGAGTCACTGTTTGAGCAAGGTCATGCCCACGTGTACCCGTGCTGCGAGGTCGGGCCAAATCACCCTCCTTCACTTCCCCTGAATTTTTGAGAAATTTGACAAAAACTTTCCTTCTGTTACTTTCTTAGATGGAAAACGTTAAACGGATGCACCAATTTCATCTAAATACCCTATCCTTTTTATAAATTATTTTACATACAAAATTACTGAAATAGGCCTATTTCATACTTGACAAAAACCTCCTTTTAATGATCATCTTCTATTTTTTTCGAATTAAAACATGGCTATTCAGTAATTTTGTATGTAAAATAATTTATAAAAGGGTAGAATGGGTATTTGGAAGAAACCACTATATCAGTCTAACGTTTTCTGTGTGGGAAGTTGACAGAAGGGAGGTTTTTGTTGAGTTTCTCAAAAATTTAGGGGAAATATTCGTTAAAATAAAACTATAGGGGAGGTTTTTATGATTGTCAGAAGCCTCAGGGGAGGTTTTTGTATTTTACCTAAAACTTAAATTACCTCATATATAAAAAAATAAGGATTAAATGAAGAAAATTATAACTGCACTAAATAATGATTATTTTTATTAACAATAAACTTGGCTTAAATACAATAAAAATAAAAAAAGAAGAATTAATATCAATATCTAATTTGATCACGGGATAATTCATCAAGTCAATATTATTTTGTAGGTAAGTAGTTTATGGTGAAATAAACTTAAAATTATTGCAGGGTGGCAGATCAAAATGTCTATGCAATTAGCTAGCTCAAACTGTTATTTCGCACCTTATATAAAAACCTATTTTATAGCAAAAAGCACCCAATTCAAAGAGAAAAAAAAAAACTGAGCAAAGCAAGAAATCATGGAAAAAGAAAGGTACTATTTATAAAGAAAACAACCCCCAAATAAAAGGAAAAACAAAGTGGCATGTTTCCAAAGACATTGCAATGATAGCATCCCAAACCAAACCTTCAATATAGACAAAGTATATCTTTAAAACACCAACATTTTTAATATAGACGAAGTTAGTTCATCACTGGAATCTTCTTTACTATGACAAAATCAACGAAAAGTTGTTAATGTTCTTTCAAAAAAACCCACTATATGAACATATAGATATTACTTGCAAGATGAGCAATGAAAATCTATATGTTTTCCTGTTTCTTGATCAAGCATAATGTCAAACAATTCAATTTAAAATGAATATATGAAGACGACATGCATTGAAAGAACTTTGGCTCCTATAAATTGTAGCAAATAAAATTCAAAGGACAAGGCAATTCATTAACAAAATGGGAAGATCTGCATGAACCTAACGTAATCCTGAACCATCAGCTCACTAAGAAGATAGCAATCCTTGATGATGTTCTTGAGTCTCCAAACATGGTTGATTACGAACATGGAATCACCCTCGATAATGATCACTGAAATTAAACGCAATGTTGTGGGCTTCCCAGGCAACCCATGCTTCAGCAAGATCGATATATAGTTGTGATTCCAATAGAATAAGCTTTCAAATCCAGAACCTAATCAAAATTATCTCTAGCAATGCACGCAGTGGAAGAAAAACCATTTGGACAACATGATGCGTCAACAATAATTTTGATGACACCCTCTTGCGGACATTTCCACAAAATTGGTAACCATGACTTCTTCTTCTTCTTCTTCTTGATTATTATTATTATTACTATTTTTTTTATTATTATTATTATTATTATTATTATTATTATTATTATTATTATTATTATTATTATATGCTCCCCACACAAATAGGTTTGCATGTCCATGGAAAATTTTCATTTTTTCATTTCTATTACAATAGACTATTACAAAATCTTTCTCAATTCTATCTTTTCATAAGCACCAATTTATTTTTATGAAAAATCATTATTCGCTTTCAAAGTATTTGAAATTTTAATCCACCAATCCCGAATTGAAATATCCTCACCACTAGATATACTAATGTTAGACTTAGAGCCAATGGTCAGCCAAACTTATTTAGCTTAAGTAGCGTTAAGTACTTGTGCAACCAAGAAAGATGTGACCCATATCTTCTTCTTCACCACAAACAGAACAAGCACCACCAATATCACAGCCCTACCAAAAGAAATTTTTTATGGAAGTTTATAACTTAGCATAAAGACTTTTAAGCTTCGGGGGATACCGAATTTTCCAAACACCTCTAAATAGGCTGACAGGCACAGGGGTAACCAAATTAGCTACACATTCCTCATTGTAATGCAGCCCTCACCTTGAATTTACGATTGGGTGTGAGTATACATACTATTCTGTTCTCAGTGGGAACAGAAGGGAGAATAATAAGTCTAATTTTCCACTAGGCTGATATAGGCACCAAAGACTGAATCATCTGCTCTTTCCAAACATTTCTCTCATTGTCAATAAGGTTAACAGGTCATTGTTCTCAATTTGGTCCTGCTTCACATCTTTCTTTAGCAAGAGGAGCACATCCAGCCTAGGTATTTGTCTAAAATTTTACCTCTTACCATCACCAATGATCCATCCAACACCCCTCTTGATTACATCACGATAGGATACCTCTCTATGCCCAAAAGATTCCCTTTCTGGGTTTGACATCCCAAAAGTCACATCTTTTAATGTACAATCACCTTTTCATGGTGGATTTAAAAGACTTCATCAAATATTCAAAATTTTGACAGAAACAAAGAGGTGTGATTTATCATCCACTGTTAAAAATGACTGTACCTGCAATTTTAAAAGGAGCTTCTTTTTTGTTTGCATACAATCCCCCAAGGTACTTTTTATTTTGCAATAATCGATGTCCCCCTCCAACTTATCGGTGAAACTAATATTAAGCATATTATGTTAACTAAAGAGAAAAGAAAAGAAACATAAGACAAAAGAAGAGAAAATCCACTTCAAGAATGGAGGACAGGAGGAGCATAACCTTCTTCATAATTCACACCCTCTCAAAACCCACATAGCATCTACAGTTATAAGAGATTACAACCCCTTGATTACTTTGTTGATCCACTACTAGAATAAGATTCCTACCATACTTAACTACTAATTAAATCTTACATTTATCCATCCCAATTCAGACTTGAGGCTACACATATTTACTTATTAATAATGTACTAGTGAAGGGGCAGGTGCCTTAAACGTGACAGTTTCAAAGAACAACTACAACAATTTGAAGAGTAGAAAAATCTGGCTTTCTGAGGGACAGCACTTCAACATTTTTTTCTAATCTTCCTACTACATCTCTTAAAATTGTCTTTCTAATACCCTTTGCGATACCAATACTTCAAATTTTGATGCCAATGCCAATGTTAAGTTTGCCATACACTGCCAATTCTCAAGCCCTGATAAAGGTTGTATCAAGCTGGCAGCCAAATGTTACACTTTTTACCAAACCCTTAAGAACATGGATTCTAAGTTAAGGAATGCTCTCAATCATTCTCTCTAGAATAAAAGATTTTACTTGAGGAAGAGCATTAATTGTTGCAAGCAAAAGGCCAAAAATCCAATAACATACCCATGGGAGAATGATCAAAATTCACCCAGGTTCACAATTCACCACTGGAGTGGTAGACTTCTATTAGTATAAAGTATGAATACACTTGCACATAATGTACATTTTTATTTCAACACAGTCAATTATAATTCCTCTCAGAATTGCAACGTACAAAACACCCTATCCATCCCTGGCAACAACACAATATCTCAACCCAAGGTGCGCAGGTTCTTCCATGCTTGGGTTCCAAGGAACTCTCCAATGTAAGTTCTACTTGTTTCTTATCTATAGCATTTTGTCGACTTCCATCTGTGGATTCAGTTCCTATAGGACTCACAAGATAGAATGTATTTACATGAGTGAAGCATGAAGAATATTTCCAAAATAGATCAGTCTCCCGCTGTATTGGCAAAGAGGTATGAAGTGTATGCAATCTGACCCCTATCCATCCTGTCCATATCAAAGAAAAAAAAATTGAAATTTCTTTATAAAGAAAGAACAAAGTGAAAATTAACATGTATTTAAGCTCATTCTAACCAAAAAGAGAACCCATAATGATACTACCTTACATGTGTTAGGTGATAAAACCTTGATGCATGCGTTCCACTCCCAGTTTATCTCGCAGAAGCCATAGCTTCTTCAATACTCCTAATGACAACACTAAGACTGCCGCCACTTTCTAGAGCTTTAACAGCAGCTCGATGTGCATGCTTATGCCACTTCAGAAGATTATAAGACTGTAGAACTGACCACCTTGCTTGGTTTGACATCTACTTAAATTAAAGATAAGAACAAAGTTCAGTCCCAATATTAAAAAATAATAAAATATATAGATAAAATATGTAAAAAGAATCACATATAGACCTCTGCAATAGACAATGGAGGTTGCAGAAGAACACTGATGCTTCTAAACAGGTTTTCATCATTTTCTCCACCCTCGGCCTCTCCATAGACAAGAGCCTCAGCTGCAATTCCAGCAAAAAGGACCATGCAGTACCTGAGCATTTGTTTGTACCTAGGAATTAATAATCACTTCACAATATGATGGGAAATTTACTTGTTTCACATCATACCTGTCAAAAGCAGCAGTGCTAAGTCGGCCTTCCGCAAGTTCATTTTCCAACTTCTCATCCCAAAACTGAGTTCCTGCCTGTACAAATGCACTAGCAAAGTAACATATGCTGCAATGGCTTTATCTAATGAGAAAAGAAAAATAGAACTCTTATGCCTAATAGGAGGAAGAGAGACAATGGAGATGGGTAATTACACATCATATAAAAGTAATACAAAAGCAAAGGCGATATACAAAATTGTAATGACTACTATTGGATTAAACTCGTGAGCCACACTATGGAACTTTGGGAGAGAATAATTGAGCACAGGTTGCAATATTAAACAAGTATATCAAAGAACCAATTTAGGTTTATGCTAGAGAGGTAAACCATGGAAACTATCTTTCTTTTGAGACGGTTGATTGAAAAGTTAAGAGAGAAGAAGAGAGATCTTCATATAGTGTTCATTGATCTAAGAGAAAGCATATGATTATAGAATCGCTTAAGAGATAACATGGAGGGTTTTGGGGCAAAAAAAGTTCCAAATAGTATGTGGACCTAAGCAAGGATATGTATGAGGATGCAACAACCAATGTTAAAACACCTGTACCTGTACAGCCAAAACCAAATTCTCAATCCGTCAACTACCTTCAAGCATGAACCCTTCTTGATCAAGACTCAGTGCTTCTCAATTCCTTTCCACAGGGCACCACATAGCACAACCACAAGAACTTTTGAACAGTTACAAACATCCATCTCATTTGGTTCAAGACCATATTTGGCTTGGTTACCTCCCTCCGCCAACTTTTGGGTTCAGAACAGGACCACTAGTGCCACTTGGTGAGTAAGGCTTTATTAACCAGATGCACCTAAATCAACCCCAGGCTGCTTTTTCCTTTAGAAGTACATAATTTTGACTAATTACCATATTTGCCAGGGTAGGAAATAGAGGCAAGTAATAGGCTGGAAGATTGAATAAGCTTCTCTTTAAAAGGGTTAGTTCGCCACCCTTCAATAGGCAATTTATCTTCCAAGAAGATAATTTTATCTTAATCCTTTCAACAACTGGGTCCCATATAGCCTTATATTTTCATTTATCAAAGGAAGAATTTGAGCTTTTGAGGCTAAGGGTTTTAAGAAGAGAAAAAGAAAGCCCCCTCGCTCAGTTCTTTTTCCCTTTACAACATTCCTTAAAATTTTTTAATATAAAATTTTAGCTTTATTTAGTTGCTAATAATTTTTTGCCATGCAATTTCTCTTTAAAATACTTATTATGTCATAGTTTTGTGTTTGATATATTAAAATTAATTGATTTGAAATGCTATTGTCTTTTAGAAAAGATAATTTGTTATGTTTGAAGAGGGAAAATTGATGTTATTGTAAAGAGCATTGCTATTTTTTAGATCTATATGCATACTGAATAGCATGTAAAATTAGGGAACTAATGTAGAATTTAATTTTTCTTTGTACTGGGCAACTAGGCACTCAACTGTCACCTAGAATTGCCTAGAGGCCTTGCCAATTATGATTTAAACGATCCAACTGTTTAGATGAGAAATAGATTATCCAAGAATTAGAATCATGTCAAACCTACTGACTTACAATCATTGGTGCAACCAGACAGGAATGACTTTGCAGGGTCCTACTTATGCCATAATGGATCTTTAAGTAGTTTTGCTGTCATCGTCCACCACACCATCTCTCACTTTTGGAGTCTCTGCATTCCTTTTCTGGAGCCCCCACATTTGAGACCCTATACATTGCTAATTTAATGACCTCCAGTATGGCCAAGCCAGCTTATGGTCAATACATTAACTTGAATCCGTAGCAGAGAAATTATTAGAAACCAGATCCTTCTTACAAGGATTTGCCCCCACCTCCTATAAGATAATTCTGCACTTAGACACTTCAATCTTCTTAATAGAAAATACCCTACTATCCTTGAAAATCTTCTTTCAACTTTATGATTCGGCAGAAAGAATATGGAAATTTTTAACATAGTCTCCAAACCCAAAGGCAGAAATGGCCATTCTTATACCAATCAAAGGGCTATTGTAATGAGGGGAAGCAGCGGGACCAACCCAACACCAACCCCCTCCCTGAAAATACAATAAAAAGAAGAATCTGATCTAACCTATACCCTTACCTCTTGATCAATGACAAAGAATGCTATATGGCCTAGAATCAAACCTCTTGGGGCTTGGAATAACCTCCTCATCAGCCAGTTACCAAAAATAGAAATAATTGATTTATGATTGAAGTTTCACTCTCTTTTCTGCCCTCACTGATGATGTTTAATTGGTGTTTCCATCAAGCAGTCGGTCAAATTAGGCATTTACCCAAACAGGCAACTGTTCAGTCCTTTCTGTAGGATTTGGTGACAATTGAGACCCAATTTTCGGCTTCTTAGTTCATGTAGGACATTTCTATTTGCTTCCTCTCCAAACTTGATACAAGCAACCCTATTGCTTGACTCAAATTGATCTCATTCATTTCTCTTTTCCTTTTTTTCTTGAACATAACAAGGAAATTTATTGATTAAATAGTTAAATAACTCATTTCTCCATTCCATTCCAAAATCACATATTAGGGATTTCTATACCCAGTTCCTCTCACTTCCAGACCCAAATTTTTTAGTTTCCTTTGATCTTATAACCCCCTAACTAGAGTTTTCGTGTGCCTCTTAGGACCAGACATGCTCCTATATCAGGAACATGTATGCATTGTCTATCTCAATCCAACATTAAAAAACTAGATGAATAGATCAACATGTTCTGCCAAACCAAATTATACTCAAAAGCATGAAAGTATGTCCATGACTTCAACTATAATTCTATATTAAATGTACCTATAAAAAATAATAGTACAAAATGTGGAAATATCCATCACAAATTTCACGATGTATAAGTATGATGAAGCAATTGACTCAAATGTAACATCAGCAAACTTCAAACTTCATGAATATTTCCAATAGCCTAAGAGTTCACATCAGGAAAGTTTCTGGGTATTTCAATATAAAGTGCAAGGACAATTAGCTGTACCTGCCCTTGGATGCCCATTTGCATTGCAACAATTGGATCTAAAATCACCCCACGAATCGGGCAGCCCAGAAGGTATGCTGCATATTCAGTTAAGACATAAAAGAGATCATTTTATGAAAAAAAAGAAAAGAAAAATCTTTCTAAAGAATCTTTCTACGTGAAATATCATCAGTTGTACTGATAAAATAAAAACAAAGAATTGTAGGAGACCAAAAACAGGAACAGCAAAAATGTGCATAAATAGACAAGCCCAATAGTATATGTAAGAGTGAAAGAAAGAAATCCCACACAAAGGCTAATAGTCTAGCAAGAATAGGGTCAACAAGAGAGAAATATAATCCGGAATGCCGGGGCCAAGGTAAATTTGTAATTTTTCTAAACTTGGACTATATAGTGCTGTCAGAAAATGGTGATTAACTTGTTTTCTATTCTACTTCTCCAAGTATCTTGATAGTAGTTTTGTATTGTATATATATCATCTCTCTCAATAAAATTTCACTATTAATAATCACAAAAAGAAATGGAGATAGATTCTTTTCCTAATTGGATCAGAGATTTTTTTATAGGAAACGGTAACTTTCATTAATTAGAAAATCAGAATTACAAACTGCCACCTACAGAAGGAAAAGGTGACCCCTGAACAAAAATCAAATTACAACACAGCCCAAAACAAAGACTCTCTATTTACCCCTTGCTTTGCTAGCAACTCATCTAAAACATTTGCTGACCTCCTAGTCCAATTAACAACTACACCCAACTCCCTTGTAAGGTTCAATAATTCTCTTACAGCTTGTCTTATGGACCAAATTCCCAAACTATTTGTTTGCACCAACCCTGCTACTAACTTTGAGTCTCCCTCCATAGGGCTGTCAATGGTCCAGGTCTGGTTCAGGACAAGGTAGAACTGTTCTGAACCGATTGTTAAATCAATAGGCCCAGAACTGAACCAGAACCTAACAGTTCCATAAAATTAGAGCCAGTACTGATCCCACCAGTTATCAGGACAATTGGGTCTGGCCCAATAAGAACCAATTAAATTTAAAAACTGTTAAAATCTGTAGTTTTTTGTAAACAAAGAACATTTTATTCAATGACCTGTAAACAAAGAACATTTAAAAACTCTTAAAATATGTAGTTTTTTGTAAAAACTATAAACTGTTACAATTATAGATATTACTATAATACAAATTTCAAGAATGCCATGAAAGCTATGGAGATAACAGCAGGTACTTGTCTTATTATCGAATATTTAATTGGTTCGGGACAGCCAAAACTGATCCCAAACCAATAATAGTCGGGACACAATAAAGAACCAGAATTGACCCAATGGGATAGAGTTTCGAACCAGAACCGACATAATTGGTTCGGTTCTATTGGGTAGAACCGACCCACTGACAGCCCTATCCCTCCACTTCTAGTTGTTGCATACCCAATTGCTTAGCCAAT